TATTATTTTCTGTGTAAACCGCGTCTTGTGATGTTTACACAGAAAATAAGAAAAACGACCCCGTAGTGAACGAACCACATGCAAGTTTTAATTAAGACAAATAAGATGAATTATCTTAACAAGTTTTAGAGAGTGTAAATTTATCATAGTTGACAAATACGGACTTCTTAAATACTTTTTAAATGGTGTTGTGAAAACATATGAGGGCAAGCAATGCAATAGATTGACGTAATTGGGACACCTGATGATGGCACTATGTTGCCGAAACATGTTGTGAAGTGACAGGTGAAATTGAGTGCACTAGAAGACGGCCACTGTATACGTATCATGGATAGAAAGTAGTTGTATGTGATGTGACAAACTTTGTCATATACTATAGGTCTTTTTAACAATTGCTTCATAGCATTGACAAGATAAAATAGGATGATATGGCTTACCAGTGTGTGTGGAGTGGCAGGTTGTGGGTTTGACAGTGGTTTTCCCGCCTCCTGTGTGTGTTGTCCTGACAGCTTGGGCTGTCTGTGTGAGGCCTGATTATGTTTTATTGGACTGGGGACAAGTTATGTGTGGTCATCATGAAATTATAATTTTATAAATGTAATGTTTTTATATCTTGGATTTGTTATATGTTTAAGCTATATGACCAAAATATTCCGTTACTTTTGATGGTAACTTTTATCTTAAATTTTAATCAATGATAAATTTGAATGTATTATGCTAGAGAGACATTGTATTATGATGTAAACATACATTGTCTTATTTTATAAGTCTTCTTGACAATTGCTTAAGAGTATTAGCAAGATAAATTGACACAATTCTGTATCTAAGGCTTTTGCCTACTACAGATGTAATGGAATAAGGAAGAAATAATAATAATAATAATAATAATATGTTCTGTAATACAGCAGGATGAAACTGCCAGGTCATCAGATTCAGTAAATGGAAAAGTAGTTTCATTCTCAATTTCCATGTCTGACAACTGATAAAGTCCTCAACAAATAGAAGTTTTATGGCATTTTCATGTTAATCACACAAACTGGCTTCTGTTGGAGGAGTGTGCATGTTCATCTCATCTGTCTTTCTGGACTAATGCTGTCTTGTCTCCTTTCTTGAGTCCAAGCCTCCTGCTGCATGTCTTGTGGTTAGCCCTCCCAACTTGGGCTAACTGTGCTACAGCCACTTATTTTCTTCACCGGGACCAGCTCAACCTCACAGCCGTTTAAATATCCTGCTCCACTCTTCTCCAGCAGTTACCTTGGTACACTGCCATGAGACAGTGTTCTGCAATACAGTAAAGTTACATTCCTTCTATGCTTGCAAACCATGGAGGTGTACAAAGGAAGTGGAGGCAAATTCCACACATTCAATATACAAAATACTTTTCAAATACCTGAAACTGTTATCCACAGGACACATAAGCAAGCTTTTGTGGTGGTCCTTTGGTTGCAAAACTACAGTGCGTACAATCAAGTGCGTGCCGCGGCTGCAATTTGCCGTGAGTCATACCACCGCAGAACGGATGCAACTCCTCCCCGCGACTGCAGTGCTCCTACGCCGATGGTTGCATAATCGGAACCCGAGGTTGCATTAAACAGTCAGTCTTTGTCTTGCTGTGGAAGTGGAGTGGAATGTTTACAGCTGTCGACAGACGGTGGAAATGAAGTTCACTATTAAACAGCGTGTGTTTATTGTCGAAACTATTGCAAGGAAAAACATTTACAGAAAATTCGCACGTAGGTTTCGTCAGAAATATCCTGACTCGCCAGTTCCCACAAAGTCGTGTGTAAACAGGCTTCTGAAAAAGTGGCGGGCCACAGGTTCAGTGAGTGACAAGAAGAAGCAATCGAAGAGAACTGTGCTGACTGAAGAAAAGGTTAAGGATATTCAGGCAAGATTACAGATCAGTCCTCGAAAATCGTTAAGACGCTTAGCACAGGAAACTGGTGTTTCGCTAGGATCTGCTCGCACAGCCACAAAGTTAATCAAATTTCGCCCGTATAAAGTAACAGTTGTGCATGAGCTGAAAGAACCAGATCATGCAGCAAGAATTCGTTTTTGCAACTGGCTGCTGCAAAATGTACACGATGGAATAGTGGATCCTCAGCTTCTATTCATGACTGATGAAGCGTGGTTCCACGTTGGTGGCCACGTCAATGCACAAAACGTAAGAATATGGAGCAATGAAAATCCTCACGCTATACAGCAAGTGCCATTACATAGTGAAAAGGTGGGTGTGTGGTGTGCTGTAAGCCCGCGGCGAATCATTGGCCCCATATTTTTCCACGATACCGTGAACTCTGATCGGTACATTAATGACATACTGAATCCCTTCTTCGATCAGTTGAATGCCGAAGAAAGACAATACGGGTATTTTCAGCAGGACAACGCTACAGCACATACGGCTAATGCATCCATGGTCGCAATACAGGAAGTGTTTGAAGACAGAATTGTCAGTAGAGGACTGTGGCCTCCCAGATCCCCAGATCTCAGTATTTCTGATTATTATCTTTGGGGCAACCTGAAGCAAAAAGTCTACAAAAATAATCCCCGCAGCATTGATAGTCTTCAAAATGAAATTACACGCGTAATTCATTCAATTACCGTCGACGAACTGCAGAGAGTGTCGCGTAATTTATTTGTGAGATGCGCGGCATGTTTGCAAGCAGAAGGAGGTCACTTTCAGCACCTGTTATAAACCACGGTAAGTTATCTTTTTACTGTATTCTTATAAATGTGTGCATGTAGAGCAACTGATGGACGGAGACTCAGCGACACCACTACACTCACGCTATCGGGGAACGGCACTGCAGTCGCGGGGAGGAGTTGCATCCGTTCTGCGGTGGTATGACTCACGGCAAATTGCAGCCGCGGTGCGCGCTTGATTGTACGCACTGTATAAGGTGATTACTAGGTAATAATGGCTGCATATAATTTCACAAAATCCTAATTTAACCCTTGAGCAGGTATGTTGGTGTATATGGTATACCATTCTTACTACTTTTAATGCTGCAACGGTACTACATGCCTGACATCTATAGACCTTTCAGTATTCTTTTAGTGTCTTTTTGACTGTCATCTAAAATAGGTGCCAGTGGTTGAGGTGAACTGTCACCAGACAACACAACTGCAATACAGATAGTTTTTGTTGTACTAAACATGCCGTGTTGTCCATCATTTAATTAATTTTACACTATACATTTTGATTCTTCAGCGTGATTTTACACAATGCAACAGCAATAATTATATTACAGGGAAGTTCCCATCTCTGACTGGTTCACAGTGATCAGTGCACCACCAGCTGCAAGGTGGATAAGAAGTTTGCTGATGAATCAATATATTTGTTGGCCAATAACGTTCACAATGAAATGGTTACAATTCACACNCATGGTCGCAATACAGGAAGTGTTTGAAGACAGAATTGTCAGTAGAGGACTGTGGCCTCCCAGATCCCCAGATCTCAGTATTTCTGATTATTATCTTTGGGGCAACCTGAAGCAAAAAGTCTACAAAAATAATCCCCGCAGCATTGATAGTCTTCAAAATGAAATTACACGCGTAATTCATTCAATTTTTAGCACACCACACACCATCTTTGTGGGTCAGATGTGTATTCTGGGCCAAATGAAATAAAGTTAATAATTACACTTGGGAAATACTATTAGCTGATACAAATATTGGTGTAAACGGATAATACAAACTTGGAAGCCACAGCACAAATTTTTTGTAACCAGTAACGTAATTTATTTTTCGTTTTTTGAGGGGTGGTCAATAAAGACTACAGAGTGAAGACGCTTACACACTTTGTGGGATCTATGGAATGCATCTATTTTTTTACTGAAAGAAAAAGATATATGTAGCGTTAGGCTGAAAAGCCCATCTTGCCAGCAACTACAATTTTACAGTATTCTTTAATTATTCCTTTATAAAAATAAAGCCTTAAATTTAAACTATCCTTAAAGTAGCTATATAATAATTCTGTTTTAACATAAGTCTTAGCATATATTGCTCCGATTGGGTTTATCGTAGTATCGAACTATTATATTGATACTGTTAACATCACGCTACTGGGATTACTCCGTGTAGCATACAGTGTAGAATGGTTTCGATACAATACGGTGAAAATCTTTTTAAGTTTCATTAAGTCACGTATCATATGAACTCTTAAATTCCTCTAATTGAACCACGTGGTGAGCTCCAGTTCCCTTAACAGCTCCCATACCAGAGTACGGTCGTACTGGAATTACGTAAACTAATTTGATTTTAAGTTTGAATAAAAATATCTTAACTATACACAAAGTCCGACTCTTATAGACAAGAAATGACACCAATGAGTTTTTTATTTTATTTCAAATCATATGCATATACTCAATTTTTATACGCCATACATACTGACCATAGATATAATCACTACTTCTACCTACCCTTTTGCATCTTTCCAGACAATTTCAACCTCCAACCCAATAATTACGAACTTACTCAATTTTTATACGCCATACATACTGACCATAGATATAATCACTACTTCTACCTACCCTTTTGAATCTTTCCAGACAATTTCAACCTCCAACCCAATAATTACGAACATCTTTAATGTACACCATACAAGAGCCATGTGCAGCGATTTATATTCCAATAATAACAAAAATTATCTTACCTTTCCATTTGCTGCCATAACTAAACAGTATACAAAAGAAAATTATTATTACACTCCTACTACCTTGCCCTTATAAGGATTACTAATGTACAAAACCCAGAAAACAGCCGACACATGAAACATCAGGAAGTACGAACTTGTACAAACTGCGTCACGAAACATCGCCAAACATCTTGCACATCTTGCATGATGGTCCTGACCGTCCTGACGTCATAACCCCCTCCCTCTCTCTCGCACACACGAAGAAAATGTGTTGTTGGGTTACAGCCAGATGAAAGGTAAAAAGTTGTCCCTGTGCTTAATAATTACGCACTACGCCATCAAGACGTATGGGAGAGTGGATGTATACACCCACGTTTTCTTGACCTCGGCACTAATTGGAGGTGTGTGGTCAGCTTCACGCCCCGACCGCTTTACCTCCAAGGCAAAAGCTCACTGGTGCCCACTGTATGGGAGGATGGGTGGGCTCCAGTGCTGATCTGGACGATATGGAGAAATGAAAATTCTTGCCCACACTAGGACTCGAACTCTGACCCCTTGGTCGTCCAGCCTGTTGCCAGTCGCCATACTGGTTGCTCTATCCCATCTCTTTCACAGCCAGATAGGATACCAAAACCCTGTTTCACTAGCCCCACCACCCCCCCCAAAATGACGGAAATTGGTGGTAGCTGATTGCTGGCCTGAATAAAGTTCCCTCATATTTTTTTAAGCTGTGTGGCCCATTGTGGAGACAAGTTGATGTATGAATTAGCACTTCACAATTCGAGTAATTGTTCGTGGCACCACACATACATGACTCTGACTGCAATGTGCTATCATACAAGATCCGTAAACCTATCACACATCAGCTATTAAGGTCCATCACGTATGTTACTTATATTCACTTTCAGCTTTACACAAAATTTCTGGATCCAGTATTGTAGTTCAAGATGATACCTCAGAAATCTCACAGGTTATAACAGTAATAAGGCAGAACACTCATAAGTACAAATTTGGAGTGGACTGATGTCAACCTACCTTTCACAGGACCTACTAAATTGATTTAGAAGCCATTAGTGTAGTACAGATACCAGAAGATTCTGTCTGGCACTACAATATCATGAGATGAACAGCCACACAAAATATGGTTACAAAGAATCACACCTCCCCAAAAAAACAATTGTGCTTCTTACTACGGTATATAACAGCAGGTTAAGGCTCTGTCACTACCCAATACAATGGAAAATTGCCCAAGTGATCATGATCGCAAAGCCTGGCAAACCTCCAACAGAATCTTCATCGTATTGCCCAATCAGCTTGCTACCCATGATGTCCAAAATCTTCGAGAGACTGCTCTTTAAACAGATTACAAAACACAGTGGCTATGGAAGAAATCATCCCCCATCATCAATTCAGATTTAGGCACAACCATTCAACAATTCAACAGTGCCACTGAATAGTCCATCAAATAAAGGACACCCTGGAGGGTAAGAAGATGTGTGCGTCAGTGTTCTTGGATATTCAACAAGCCTTCGATAAAGTATGGCACCAGGGACTCATCATCATCATCATCAGTAATCTGTCAAGACGACAGGTCCACAGTCTCTTCCAAAACAATTCCTCCACTTAATGCGATCTAGAGCTTTCTCCTTCAAATGACAGTATCCTCTTCTGTCCCCAAGGTCATCCAGCATCTTCTTACGTCTTCTTCCTCGTCTTCTTGTCACTTCTATCCGCCCATCTATCTTTCCTTCGATAGCTTCTTTTAGAAGGCAGTTTCTGCGTAAAACATGACCAATCCAATTAGCCTTCCGTTTTCTTATTTCATGTAGGATATTCCTCTGCTCACTGACTCTAATTAACACTTCTTCATTTCTCACATAATCGGTCCAACTGATCTTCTCCATTCTTCTCCAACACCACATTTCGAAACTTTCCAGATGTTTCTGATCTACTGCCCTAAGTGTCCATGTTTCAGCCCCATACAGAGCTATGCTCCAAATGTAGCATTTCACTAGTTTCTTCCTCAAATTTAAGTCCAATTTGCTGGTAAAAAGATTCTTCTTCTTGCTAAATGCAGCTTTTGCCATGGCAATCCTGGATTTAATTTCACAAGTACACCTTCCATCATCTGTTAACAAGCTACCCAAATATTTAAAACATTTCACATTCTCCACTTGTTTTTGGTCTATCTTTATTGTGACTGGGGTTGGTTGTCTCGAAATTTTCATTACTTTTGTTTTCTCCACATTCATTTCCATGCCATAGCACCTTCCAATTTCAATTAGTCTATCAATCATGCCCTGTAGCACAGTTTCTTCCTTAGCCATTAACACAAGGTCATCTGCATATTTCACAGTTTGAATAATTTGCCCTCCTACTTTGAAGTCACCGAGCCCATCCAGAGCTTCCTTGGTAAGGCATTCGCTGTACAAGTTGAACAGAATTGGTGATAAACAGCATCCTTGTCGAACTCCTCTTCCAATCTGCACACTTCCTGTCTCCCCCCTGTCCAGTCGTACTCTAACTTTCTGATCCATGTACAATTTGCTAATCAATCTTCTTTCATGCCAATCGATACCTGTTTCTTTCAGGATCTGCATTAATTTGGTCCAGTTTACCCGGTCAAATGCCTTCTGCCAGTCTATGAAGCAAACACACAGTTCTTCATCTATCTCCAAAGTTCGTTCCGCTATAATTCTCATCATCCCAATTGCATCCCTGGTTCCTTTTCCTCTTCTAAATCCAAACTGATCTTCTCCAAGTACATCCTCTATTTTCCTTTCAATTCTTCTTTTAAGTATCTTTGCTATTATCTTTGCTGTATGTGCAATAAGACTTATTGTGCGATGGTCGCTGCATTTTGTAGCTTTTGTCTTTTTCTTTAAGGCAATCATTGTAACTTCTGTAAAGTCCTTGGGCCACTCTCCACTTTCATATATGGTGTTCATTAGTTTTGTCAGTGTTTTCAAACCACCTTCTCCCAGTAACTTGAGCACATCTCCAGGTACATCATCATCTCCTGTAGCCTTTCCCTTCCTCATTTCCTTGATAGCTTTTTCCACCTCACTTTGTAAAATATATGGTCCTTTCTCGTCTGTATCTACTTCTTCTTCCGGTTCAACTTCTAAGGTTTCTGGCCGATTAGGTCGATCATATAGTTCTGAAATATAATTTTCCCAAATTTTCAGCACTTGCCTCTGATCTACTATTCTATTCCCCTGGGAGTCTTCGATGCCAACATTTTGAATCCCATGATTCTCTTTCCATCCTAGTTCTTTTGTCTTCATGTACATCAAATCATAACGGCCTGTTCTTTGAAATTCCATAATCTCATTACATATCTTCTCAAGATATTCCTTTTTGGCCCTGTCCGTGGCTCTTTTCAATTCATTCCTCAGTCTCCTGTATTTCCTCCTGCCTTCTTCATTGTTGACATTCTTCCATTTCCTTCGCTCCTCCATTTTACTCATCATCTCCTGTGTAACCCATGGTTTTCTTGCTATCTTCTCAACTTTACCTACCAAATCACTGATAGTATCTAACATGCATTCTTTTATATCGTTCCACTGCGCTTCAGCATTTCCGCTTTCACCTTCAATTGCACCGAGTTTCTCTTCTAGAGTCTCTTGCACGCTTTGTCTTTGAGCATATAACTTCTCCAAATCCCATCTGGGTCTGCGCTTTCGAAATCCTATAATTTTCTTCAACCTGGTTCGGAACTTGGCAACCAGCAAGTTGTGGTCAGAGTCAATGTCTGCCCCAGGAAGCGTCTTCACATCCTTCACACTGTTTCTGAATCGATGTTTCACAAGGATGTAGTCCAGCTGATGCCTCTTCCAATCCCCAGGTGCCTTCCATGTGTAAATTCTTCTCTTTGGCTTCTTGAACCAAGTGTTGGTAACAATCAATCCATTTCGTTCACAAAAGTCAATAAGCATTTGACCTCTGTGATTCCGTCTTCCTAGTCCATGTGATCCAACAATATTCTGATATGGTTCATCTCCAACAATGCTGTTCCAGTCTCCCAATATGATGCTGTTTGTGTCTCCTCTTCCATCTTCCTGAAGAATTTCTTCAATTGTGTCATACACTTTTTCCACTTCATCATCTTCATACTCTGATGTTGGCATGTACACTTGTATAATCAGTATATCTACCGGTTCCGCCTTTAACTTCAGAGCAATAATTCTGTCATTACAAGCAATCTTCTTAACAACACTCCTCACTACACTTTTATGCACCACTATTGCCACACCTCTTTCAGCCCGTTCACCTCCGGAATAATACACTGTATAATCACCGCTTCTTATTTCACCTTGTCCTTTCCACCGCACTTCGCTGACACCTAGCACAGACACTTCATTCTTCTGCATTTCCGTTTTCAAATTCTCCAATTTTCCTGCTTGATTCAAGGTCCTGACATTCCATGTTCCAATCTTGTATCCATGCTGTTTCTTCTGATCTTCGCACTTTTTCTTGTTGTAACGCCTGCATGACATTTCCTCTAGAAACACTCCCCCCCGGAGATCCGATTGGGGGAGTAGTTTACCTCCGGATTGTTTTGCCTCCAGAGGAAACATCTCGCATATATGGTATCTCTGTTTTTGGAAAGAGACTATCCAGGAAAAGTGATAATGTGGTAGTTTTTCCATTTGCTTTCCACATCGCAGTACAGCAGCCGTTCAAACCACTCTGGTCACGCCTGCTGCTATACGAACTTGAACCATCTCGAGCATCATTTGCTCTGTGCTTCAAGTCGCTACTGATGACGCTGCTTCCGGCATCAGTTTTTGGTCTCTCTCTTCGTCTGATGCCTACCCTTTGACCTGTCCAGCAAGGGAGGCCCTGCCAGTAGCTACGCTACCGCTGGTATAGCTCTCAGGGTCCTTGGCATACTCAAACCCCCTCACCACGATAAGGTGGAGACACCAACGAGGGAGTACCAGGGACTATTATACAAATTAAAAAAAAACTACCGTACCCAGTAAAATAAACACGTATGTTACTTAAATCATACTTAACTGATCGCTACTTTCAAGTTAAAATAGAAAATACATACTCCAAATATTACCCCATCAAATCTGGAGTACCGCAGGGTAGCGTCCTTGGCCCCTTCCTATACCTGATATTTACTTCCGATATCCCCCAGTCACAAGAAATAACCCTGGCCACATTTGCAGATG